CAGGATCTAGCCACTTCTGCTGCTTTGTACTACACTAACCCATTTGCCTCTGTTTATCCTGCACAACCAAGGGGATGGTTTGCCATTCAGAAGATGGAGGCTGAGTAAACGTAGAGAGAATCAAGGAGAACAAACTCTGCAGTAGCTGCAGCACATCCTTAAGGCACAGGGGACAGTTAGCAGCACAGGCCAGGATGCTCCACTCCACACACCTCACAGTAACTGTCCGACACCACAAGGAGACAGTGGGGCTTTGCCTCTCTGTCTACAGCCAGGATCATGTTCTGAGTGAAAATACTACAAGCCTCAGCCTCCAAACCAGCTGTCCTTGCCTTAACAGGCCCAGCTCGCTTTGCTCATGAAGTGTCTACTGCAAGGAACACCTGACATTTCCTTCCCTCCAGGTTTCACATTCCCCAAGGGCAATTTTCCAAAGGTTAAATCAGAAGCTTCCTTTTCTCTTTGAACTGCAACACTCCTTCCTGGCTTGAGCAGTACAGGCAAGTCAATAATTCTTACTTTCTCCTTTCCCCATCAGGAAGAGCCAACAAGTCCTTCCATGCAGGCTTCTGCCTTTTCCCTGGAGGGAAATCTGCCTCCCTCCACCAGTAAGGGCAGGCACAAAGACTCTTACTGTGACTGACTCTTCCTACCTTCACCAGCTCTACAGTAAGTCCTTCCTGTGTCCACACCCTGGGGAAGGCAGTGCCAGTCTGCCCTTGAGAGTACAGGGATCATGAAGATAAGAGATGTGCACCACAAGGCTGGTCATACCACTCAAACCAACTCTCTCAGCTCACAGTAAAGCTTCCATTTCATTCTGAGGAGTTCAAAGTTAGAAATAAGCAGAAAGAGAAAAAAGCAACAAAAAAAAAAGAGGAATGTCTTACAAACAGAAAAATCAACATAAAACCAAGAGTAGAAAAACATGAAATAAGATGTCAGCAAGGTCAGAAAACTCCCTAAAGCCATTGTATTGTGTAGGAGTATATTTCTGCATTACCGTTTATTAAAAACACCACTCAGATAATCTCTGAAGAAGTCTATAATTCTGACCAGGACTTTGGCTGTGCAAAATTCCCAACTCAGACACTTAAAAATTAATGTTAAGTTGCCTTAAGAAAATTAAAATTCTGTAACAACATCACCTTTGGTTACAGGGAAGCTTTACCTTTGGTCTCTCGAGTTACCAGCCTCCTTGGAGGAAGATGTTGGCAAGGACAGGCTTTTCTTTTTCTCCTCACTTTTCTCCTCAGAAGCATCTATGTTCAACAGAAGAGAAACAGATGCTAAAGGTTCAGAACTACAACCCTGCACACACTAATCAATGTCTTAACATTAGAGTGTTGGCCTAAGTTATTACTCTCCAGAAAGAATCAGGGCAAAGAACACCTTTATGAACCTCCATGCTTTCAAAAGACCTTTTGCTTGCCTCTAAGTAGACACTAATTGAAACAAAAGCTTTCCTCAACAACCTAAAGAGCAATCACCTTCCCTGCCTAGGAGATAAGCCTCCTCACAAAACATGCCTCATCACAAAAGCTTCTTTCAGAGACACCCTGGCTGCTGAGTACAGATTAGATCAAGTTCCCTAAAGCATTATTAAAAGCAGCTTTTCCAGCCAACATCACCTGAAGGGCCAGTGCAGGCTCATCCTTCTGGGAATCCAGCTTCTCAAGTTGTTTCTCAAGTGCTGCTGAAAGCCAAGAGCACAACCCTGGAGAGGACTTGCATTACACTGCAGAACAAGTCTGACCCAGAGATAAACTGTCCCAGCCTCCCCAATACACATCAAGCCTGAGGTGCTGGTCAGGACAGGAAAACAGTGCTCTGAGCACTCATTTAGCCTGCTAGGAAATGGGGAGTCCTGGGGTGTAAGGCTATGAGTAATACTGCACAATCAGCTGCACATGTCACCACATCCCTCTTGTCCTTTTTATGAGCAGCTGCCCCAAAGAGCTGCCCTTCCAGCCTCAGATGCCTCATTCTTTTCTCACAAAGGTAGTCACCAAGACCATATTTGTAATTCCTCCATCTGTAATTTTGACATTTAGTTGTGCTATATTGAGCATTAAGATTTCTCAGACAGAATTACAAGCTTCTGCTTATCAGCATCCACCACCAGGAAAGCCTTCCCAGCAGGAAAAAGTCCACATGAATTTGTCTACAATGTGTTAAACTGAGGTTCCTTCACCTCATCACTCAAAAAACACCCCAGTTTTCCCTTTCCAAGCCACTGCACAAGGTTGACAACAGATGCTGTATTAATGCCACACAGCACAAGAGAGGGTGGAGGGTCCATGGTGCAGATATTGCTTCTACAAATTATGCTGCTAATTATTATATGGACAGGTACACATTAAGAATAGTCCTGAAGTGTTCAGTGCTCTCTGGAGGCAGAGCTAGCTGTTGGGCTGACAACAGGAGATAAACCTAGAGGAAGGGAGGCAAAAACTTGAACTACAAATCAGCTCACAAAGCTGATTTGCTAGAAAATTCTACGTAGACCATTAGATAAGCTCTCCTGAGAAACCCAGCCTCCCACTGAAGCCAGCTCCTTCATGAGTTGAATCTGAAAGGAACATGCTGATTTTCTTACCTAGAAGCTTCTTCCAAGATTTGATGAGGGATTTGGCAAGTGATATCACTTCTTCATCTGTGCTCTGCTTCCTCAGCGCGTTCACTGACATCCCAATGCGGGTGGACTGCAAGTGAGCATTCAAACCAACCAGTCAAGAACAGATTCATTATTTGTTACTAACTGAAACCAAAAATAAGCATCATGAAGTCAAAGCAATGAACAAGATATGAAATATCCAAGGACTTGTAGCATAATTATCTCTTTGCAACTCTGGAAGAGCAAAACCATGCTCCAATTTATTCAAGCCCATCAGCACCAGGACATCCCATCACCCACAAACACCTCCTCTCCACACCTGTGACATTCAAGCTGACAGTGAAAAAAAATCCCAGACACCTACCTTAATCTCTGAATTGTGTGTCCTGAATATCACCATGACAAAGACTTAAACTTTTGTCATGAGCGGCCTTTTTTTTGCCACTTTAATCTGCTTCTTCCTCCTTCTGAAACCTTTTGAAAGGATTTGAGCAGTTACCCACGTTTGCCTGACCAGCTGTACACAAGTTTCAGGCAGCACATGGTGGCTCAGAGCTATTTAACTGCCAGTCCAAAACTGAGGCTCAGTGCCAATTTCTGGAATTAATGTTTATTTTGATACTTTGAGCAAGGCAAGTAGTGAAAGAAAATCTATTAAGACAACATTTTGGACTCCTCCAGATGGGGACTTCAGCTTTTTTACCCTAACTGTGCAACTCACCTGCAGTAAGTCCAAAGTCATAGGCATGGTTTTCAGTTCTTTCAGTAAATCCATTGCACCATCCTGCAGAGGACAAGAGAAACAAAATGAGTGTGTCAGGCTTTAATAAAGAAACCAAACCGCTCAGGAATAAATTCAGAAGTTGGATTCAAAGGGGAAAACACCAACGAGCCTTCCCTAAAACATCAGTAAGATTACTGCTGGGATTGCTGCTCCAGACAGACAGTAGATCCTACAATCTGGAGGCACCTGAGATATTGGGATGGGCAAAACAGAAGAGCACTGGAGCACTACAGATCTCTTTTGGTGTATTGTACAACTGCAGTATTAGCTTATTATCCTTACCTGGCAAGCTTAACAGTTTTAACACCTGAAAAATACACCTAGAATCACAATTGTCCCCTCAGTACAGGGAGTACTTAGCTTCCAGGAGTACTCCTACCATCAGACTCAACTCTTTTAGGGGCCATGATTAATTATGTTATTAGCTCACAAGAACAGTTTAGCAGAGTTGCAAGAACTTCAGTAATTCACCTGAAGCTCAGAACCATTGCCTAGACAGAGCTAGAAGTATCCTCTGCCTACAGCATTAAACTTAATGGAGCTGGATCCTAGTTTTCATGTCAGTACCTCACTCTGCTCAGGACAAGAGCTGATACCAGAAGCAAAGCCATCAAGCAGCAAAGCTGAAGAGCTGGTCACTTGCAACTCACTATATGTTGTTTCCTTGAGTCAACTCCGCAACCCAGAACACAGATCCCAAAAAAATCTGACTAGGGTCCCTCTGTACTAATTTCTATAGACACCTAAAATTGGTAGTCACTCAGAGAGATGGCAGGGACAGAAGCACCAGCCAAGTCTCCCTTCAGCTGCACTCAACAGACAGCCTGGAGCGTGCCCATCTCCATTTAGCTGCCTCTTTTCTCCCATCCCCCTTCTCTCAAACAAGGCCTTCCCAAACAGCTCAAACACCAACCACTCCAAGCCTGTTTGCAGCACAAGACCTACAGAGCCTGGGATTGTAGAGAAGCAGAGGAGCCTGCTCTGACAGGCCCTGTCCTCGGATCCCGTGCTCCCTAGGCAGAAGGGCCGTTTGCTGCAGGAAGCAATGCAGCTGCCAGGGCCATCCTTCACAGCAGATGCTGAGAAAGCCAAATCAAAGCAGAGTCAAGGCTTCCAGCATGCACAAAAGCAGCTCACACCAGGGTAAACCACAGGTTAGCATACCCAGAACAAGTGACTTCCCCCTCAGGCAGTTTCACACCTTTCCAGTTCCTCCAGCTCCAAAGGACTCCATTAAATCTGGCCCTTAACATACAAAATGACCCGGTGATTCCTGTCTCTACAGCAATGGAGCCACTTGGCACAACGGCAGCAAACGAGGATCCCCACAAAAACTAGAGGAACAAACAGGTACTCCAGGCAACCATCCTGCAGGAAGAGTTTGCAAATTAGCTGATAAACAACAAACACACTGAGGTTCAGCCCCGCATGAAATGCCAACCAGGAGGGAACGTCTCATACCATTCATTCAAGAAGCTGCCTCTTTCTCAATGAAGCTTGGAAGTAAATTCTGCAAAGTTGCTCCTTTCCTATTTCAACAATGTCGTTGAAAACCTGCCATCAACGGGAACAGACATCACAGGCTGTGGTTTAGCCCAAACACACAGCCCTGGGTTGTTACCACAGCTACAAGTGCCAGAGCTCACCCCTGTCCACGGCTGGCAGAGCGCGTCCAGCATCCAGAACTTCACACCCCCATCAACCAAACACCACATTCCCACAACCCCTTCCCCTCCTCACCCATCTCCTCCCAGTCCTAAAAGCCCTCTCCCCCACCCAAAACACAGCCTGCCTCTGTCACAAGCCCTCATCACCCAGCTTGCTGCCTTGGCACTTGCACGACACTGTTTCTACCCGTACCAGCATGACAGGGAAACACTTGCTGCTGTCCCCCCGGTCACAACACACCCTGTGGGACCCCATGTGCAGCCAGCAGCAAGGCCAACCCTCCCCGCTCCGAGCGACAGCCAGAAAAGGTGATGGGGATGCAGGAAGTAAATGTAGTTGGGTTTTTTTCTGAGGGCAAAACAGAGCCCCAGGCCAGCGCTGGGGGGATGCACAAGGATTCTGCTTCCCAATGGGACAGGGGAGGAGGGCTAAGAATGGTCCCCTGGAGGGGAACACCCCAGCAGGCAGGGCGGGGTGAACCCCAGGGTGATGGGCTGTGGGGCTGTGGGGTGTGAGGTCTGGGGTGGGGGGCACAGCGTGGGGAGGGGGGGGTTCCCCCAGCACCACAAGGGGAAACATGGAGCCCCCCCC